CATTGATACAGGTTCCCACACCAACACTGCCATGTTCTGGACTTACCCACCCAAACTATGTTTCCCACCCCCTCTGCTGCATGTGCACCCCTAAGGTCACAGACCCACCCATGTTCATGCTGCCATAGCAACAGAACCCTGCAACCACACCCACGCCAAGTCCCCCACCCCTTCTCTTTCCTGTTCCAACCCTCACGCTGCCAGCCCCTGGCGCCCCTAGTGCCCAGCGCCCACTCCCCACCCCTTCTCTTTCCTCCCCCAACCCTCACGCTGCCAGCCCTTCGCGCCCTGCCTGCCGCGGCCCCGCTCCCTCCCTCCCGCGGGAACTCAGTTTAATAATTAATTAAGATTTCATTCCACTAGGGCGCCAGGTGTGTGTGGTCTGGTTCCTCGCACAGCACACTTCTCTCCTCCTCCCTCCACCCTTGGGGGCACCTGCCCTGACGCGAACCTGCTACACCCAGAGCCCAGCAGGCGGCCAACCGGCACTATGCGCGCCGCCCTCCGGGTCACGCTCTGCGACCTTCTCCTCGCCAACTCGCAGGATCCCTCCCCTGGGCACCTTTTGCCCCAAGGATTGTGCTTCCCCAATGCGGGAGGGTGGGGTTAGGTACATGTACTGAGAAATTGTTGGGACTTTTATTTCCCACGTTTTCCAGCACGGAGCAACTGCCCAAGTTACCTGGGAGATGGGGAATATCACGTGGAAACCAATTTTAACCCTTGAGGGTTCAAATGATGGTGGAGTCAGAAAGAGAGGGAGTGTTAAATTCCAGAATATGGTAGAGGGAGTGGCTGTCATCCAGAGGCCGGAAGCGGACAGTTTTCTGGATTTTTCTCTGAGGGCCCCCTCCCCCTTCCTTCTACCAGCAGTAACGCCTCCTTCCACTTCAGCCTTTGCCTTGGCGGCCCCTTTTCTGTCCAAGGCAGCTCGTCCCTGCCCCAGCCTTCCTAATGTTCCTCTCCTGCAAAACCCAACCTGCCAGTGACCACTGTGAAGAACGCCCATGACACCCCTCGGCCAGCTGGGGACGGAGCTTGAGGCCAGGAAGAGGGGAAAGGTGAGGAAAACCAGTTTCCATCATTTATGGGAACTATAACTTCAAATTACGTACCTTAGTAAATCACTACTTTGCGCCTCTATCTACAAAACACGGTTAAACCCACCCTGCCACGTCTTCCTGACAAGACTTGGAGGATCGATGTTTGTGGTGCGTTGTTTGGTAATGGCCCAGTGTCTGTCCTTTGACTCATGGGGCCTGTTTGCCTGCTTCTCTCTTGAGCAGCCAGTATTCTCCCCGTGATCAGAATGCCCTCTCTAACCTGGGTCAGGTATCTGACATTTACCCGTGAGAATAATGTATCTATGATCATGTGTGGGAAATGCAGAGGACAATTGAGATCAGGAAGTGTGTGTAGTATGAAGTGGGGATCTTTCTGGGGATGGGAGGTATGAAAGGAAAATTGGATATTAACCAAACATGAAAGACTAGGAGACCTTCTCTCGCACTGGCCTCTCTGCCCTAGTGGGTAGCTAGTGGGTTCATCTGGCTTCCTGCAGTCTATTTCAGTTCCTGGAGGGCAGGGCCCTATCAGCACTTGTCTGTGATCCCCCTTTATATTGGGGATCTAGTCTTGCTCTATAAAATGTTGGGCCCATAGTTATCATTCTAGCCCCTATCTTGTAGATAGGAGACACATGCTGTGGTGGTTACATAATCTGTTGTCAATTTGAGAGGATTAAGAATGAAGGGGTGGAGTCTAGTCTGTCAATCAGGTCATAGCTTGACCTCATTTGAAGGTGATAAGGAGATAGATAGCTCGCTGGAAGCAGACACCGGCTTTCCCTGAGAGACTCTCTACTGACAAGACACATGGAGCTATGCTGATGGCAGTGAGAGCCCTGGAGCTGGAAGAGCCACGTGGAAACCCACACCAGCGCTGAGATGCTTTCACTGCCACTGGATCCACAAGACTTCCATCCCACTGACCTGTGATCTTCCTGCATTCAGCATCATTGCATGTGTTTCGTGAGTCTGAAGAGGACTTTATAGATTGGTATCAGACATATGGGCTAATACTGGACTTGTGGACTTGATCTAGACTGGGCTGGAATGTTTTCTAAATATGCAATTGCTCTTATATATAAAGCTCTTCCTAATACACATATGAGTATGTCTATGAATTTGTTTCTCTAGTCTGCCCAGACTGACACACATGCTAACACTAGCTATATGGGATCTGCTCAATTACTAAATTTAAAAGTTTATTCAAGATATTCTAAGGCAGCGGTTCTCAACCTGTGGGTCACCACCCCTTTGGGGGTTGAATGACCCTTTCACAGGGGCTGCCCAATTCATAACAATAGCAAAATGACAGTTAAGAAGTAGCAACGAAAATAATTTTATGTTTGGGGAGGTCACCACCACGAGGAACTGTATTCAAGGATCATGGCATTAGGAAGGTGGAGAACCACTTCTAAGGGAATCAGGAGGTTGATTGAATTCCACTGCTATACTTTTAGTCCTTATAAACACAAGCTTCAATGAGGGGACTTCAGAAAGTTGGTGGGATGAATGGGGGTGGGGGCATAAAATAAATTAAAAAAAAGAAAGTTGGTGGGAAAGTGGAATTAAAAGATAATGGCGTTTTCCCATGAACTTTTTTAAACCTCCTTGAGGAGCATTGACTATTCATGATGGGCCAAGCAGTCGACTAAGCCCTTTGCACAAAACAAGGAATTGACCCATCATACCAACTTCT